CTCTCCACCGCCCCTGCTCCACGAGGTGCAGGAGGGCACTGGGGCAAGAGGGGTTCGGCAGTCCCGGGAAGGGCAGCCAGGGGCCTGTCCTTCCTGACTGCAGGGGCATCTCTTCATTTCCTCGGATACGGCCTGATTTCCCGGAGTCGGGGTGGGGCTGCTGTGCCAAGTCGAGGTGGGATAATTTATGACAGAGGATGGAAGCAAAGGAAATCTCCCACGGAAGGGAAGGGCACAGGGCATCTGCATCTGCAGTGAAGGGCAAGAAGTGGTCTCCACGCTCCTCAGCCCGCAGTCAGCCCTCAAACTCTTGGGTGAGCCCACTGGTCGCTGCCGGGCTGCGAGCCGATCTCTGGGGGGAGGCTCCACGTCCCTGCCTTCCGGAGGCCGAGGAGAGAAAGGCTGGTGCCCGGAGATGGGCAGAGTTTGAGGGGTGGTGGGGTCTCGGCCTCGGCTCTGCCCTGTTTCCCCAGGCAGCGAGGAGCTGGGCAGACGGCACTGCGCGCTCACATCCGCGGGGCACGACTCCCATCCCCGGCGCGGCAGCCGCCAGCCCCTGCCCTTAATGAGATTCTTTGAAATCCAAAAAAGCGAGATTTAATGTTACATCCTTATCTTTGGAGGAGTGTGGTTTTCTTGCCACGGCGACGTCACTTGTTAAACAATCCGCGGCTGAGCCCCTGAAAAGGCAGGCATTGCACCCTTCGTGCTGAATGCGCTTCTCAGTGCGCATAACGCCAGGGCCTTTTGATGTCTCACAATGCGTGTTACGCCCAAAGATTGTCTCTTTGGACAGATCTACAACGCTTGGCTTCATGTTTGGAAGTTAAATGGACAGCGAGGTTGTTGAAACTCCCACGCTTGAAGCTGGCGCAGACACTCGGTACTTTCGCCCGTTACTTTCCCTGAGTGAAAGCGGCAGGGGTGGAGGGAAGGGGCTGCTGGTTTAATCCGCGCTCCGAGGCAAAGGGAGGGGGGAAAGCAACTCAGACCAAACTTTTCCCCTCTTTTCTTTTCTTCGCTTTATTCTTTGGCAGCCTTAAAATAAGAGCTATGTGCAAAGCGTGCGCCCTGCCTAGGTAGCTTGTGTCTCGAAGTCTCTGGCAATGTTGCTGCTCCATGAAATCAAAATTTATGATTATTCAAATGTTGGGGACTGTGAAAAGAGAGGAAGAAAGAGAGAAAATTAATATTGCAGCTGTTCTTCTGATTAATGAGAGATAATTGCTCATGAAAAGTCACCCCTGTGGCATTTTGTTGTCTCCTGGATCTTTGTTCTTTTCCACTATTATTGAGGACTTTCTTGAAGACTAAGCGGTTCTTTTCAATTTTTGGTATTCAGAAAGTGTTGCTTGGTTACAGATAATGGAGAAATCTCGGGCTATATTGGGTAAGATGTGCCACAGACAGCAATATCACAATGCCACTTTTAGAAAAGGATGGATACAAGTTAACGATGCGCTTTCAATAAAACATTAATAGACTTGTTCACGCTTTTATAATGACCTCCTTAATGGGAGCGGGGGGCAAGTCCTGTCTTTTGCTTGCGTTCACTTCAGAACAGCCGGCGTCAAGATCGCTTATCACTTTGGAAAGTAATAGGAAATCGATGTTAGAGTAGCGAATAAACGCGATTATAGCGCAGGAGCCCGCGGCCCCTCGCTTACCCACGCACGGCTTTATTTTGAGCGGGGCTTTCCCGTACGGAAACTGCCCCAGCCCGGGGTGCATCCTGCCAAGCGCTGTTTGCGACCACGGCTACTCTGTGGGGGTTGTTTTGGGGTTGCTGTTTTGGCCTTTTTTTTTCCTGGTCGAAACTTGTCCCCGGGCTGCGGCGCTTTCCACGGAAGCAGCTCCTCCCGTGAACTCAGGGGAGATGCGCGCCTAAAAGCCGTTGCTTTCGCCGAGCGGACATGGCTTTTTCTTCTGCCGAGAGCTGCGGAGGTTGGGGGAGGGAAGGGAAAGAGTTGCTTTGTCATTTAAGCCGTGAATCTCTTCTACATAAAGGTGTTAGAGACATCTGGAAGAAAAGAGGGACCAGCACCCAGTCCTGCGCTCGGCGGACCAGGGGAGCGGCTCTGATGTTCTTTTTGAACTGCTCCACTTTCAAAAGGGGGCAATTTCGTTACATTCTCATTTGTTACACTGTCTTGAACTAAAGGCAGACAAAGCTATACTCTGTCACCCCGAGCAGAATGAAGGGAATCAAAGGATTTTCCCTTAAAAGGACTAATTTTCTCCTTGAATTATGAAAGTAATGGCTAGGTAACAGCCTGTGCTCTGTACCCAACTGCTTAATACCTTCTAAATCCTTCCACGTGGCTCTCCCAGTCGTAGCAATTAGAGCTCATTATAGGCTCATAAGAGCTCTCATTTCGGGGATTACTTAATGGACAATGAAATTTTATCGGACAGAATTATTGAAAAATAAAATTGTAACGAGGCCGATGTGATGTGGGCGCACGCCTTGCATCATTCCGCCTGGTTTGGGATGTCTTTGCTTTCAAATGACTTCTTTTCTTGCTCTAGCTTTCAGGGGTGGGTTTTTCTTAGTATTTTTCGCTCTCTCGCTCTCTCTCTTTTATCACTGCACTTGGTTTATTATAACAATTACAAATTGCAATTTTGATCTGACTCTTACTCTGTCTGCCTTCCCTTACGACAGCCCCTTCCCCAGATCCACTCCATCACTGCAGACAGCTTTTTCCACTGACGATTGGGGTTATATTAATATTGTTGTTATTATTATCATTTTCCAGAATAGCCTCTCATAAAGGAAAGTAATACATGAATAAAAATAAAATAAAATAAAATACAGATATTAACTCAAATCTTCTCCAGGTAAGTTGTGTTTCAAACGGGAGGAGCCAGACAAAGGAGTCCCATGCCTGTCCACGGTGACCGTGACTTGCATCTCACCGGCCCCACCGGAGCTCAGGAGGCAGAGCCCCCGTGTATCCCGGGGCCGCCGATTCCAGGGCCTCGGCGGCGGCACGGGCAGCAGTCCCTGGAGCTCTGGGGTCTGACGGCTCCGGGGCCTCGGCTGGGCCCTCGACAGCGGTTTGGGGAAAAGTAGGTGAGGTCGGAGTCGACCGGCCTAAACCCCACGAGCCCCTAATTGTTGTCACAAGACGCGGGATTAGCGCATTGCTGGAATAACTGCCTGTTTACACTCCGGAGCCCCCGCCGGCCGGTAAACACTTTCTAATTGAATTCTAATCACATTCAAATAGCTTCATAACCAGCCTCAGCTGCAATTCATAAAACTTTAATTGCCATCCATAAATCCTCAGATTGCTGAGTGCGGAGTGTCCCTAAAAATGCTGTTGTATCGTGTGTGCTCGGGGAGGTGTGTGGGGGGGGAAAGGCGAGCAGGGCTGGGGGAGAGCCGGCCCCTGCTCAGAGGGGCCCGCACAGTGGCACTGTCCCGTGGCAGGTTGGGGACGGGACAGCACAGCAGGGCGAGACCTGGCCCTTCTCTTAGCAAGGCTCGAGTTGCACAGCCGAGCCTCCCTGGTCTCGAGCGCCGAAATGCCGGCTCCACCAAGAAGGCGGTTTTATTTTGCCGGGTTTTAACAGCGGGAGAGTGGGTGTGCGGGAGGGCTGATAGGATGTCCGTAGTCCGATCCGGCCCTTGCTCACGACAACGGCTTCTGAACACGTTTCGGCTCTTGCTGCACTCCCGAGACTATGCTCAGCCTGGTAATCAGGCGTAGTCTGTGTTTTCTGCTTTAGAGCACAATTGTCGCTTCCCTTTCCCGTATCAAGTGGGATGGGATTCGCACTCGGTTTTAACGGGCGCTTCGCATCTGCCAAAGAAGAATACGATCGCCCTTCTATTAATGATAAGTGTCTTCTTAAACTCCCATAAAACAGGTCATTGGAAAATCTGCGAATACCTTGGCTTTTTAATGCACTCTGAAATGCTTCGGAGCCACCGACCGTATTTAGCTGTTTATCCAATTTTACTTTGAGTGATTGCTTCAGCAAACTTGGTGGAGATCAAAGAATCCCTCCCTGACATGTTCGCTTTTCATTAGCGCTGCGCACTGCGGTCCTGGAGCGGGCGGGGAAGTTCATTTGGAAGTTTTCCGTTTTGATACCATTTGGCTGAGAAGTGTCCAGATATTTGAAGGCTTTGTCCGTTGCAGTAATTGCCAATTTGACAAGATTCACTCGGGGTGAAAAGGGCGAGGGGAAAAAAAAAAAAAAAACAAAACAAAACACTCAACCCACCCGACATGCATATGTATGCGCAGACACACTAACGCGCGCCATCCCTAACTTTATATCCGTGTTTGCATCTGTGTCCCTGGCTCCTCTGATGCGGAAAGGGCCTCCTGAAGGAGTCTTGAGTGCAGAGAGTGGACTAGACTGGAGAAAGGTGTTGGTCCCAGGCTTCCGTGGGATCCACGGCTCCTTGGGTGTTATTTGACTGGGTGTGAGTGGGAAGGCGTTGACCCGCATCTTTCAACGCATCACCTGTTCTCATCTCTTGTTCCCTCCTGGAGAAGGAAAGGAGCATTCTTCTCGGGAAAAACCCAACACCCCGGGTTTGTTGAGAGGGGGATACGCCTGCGAACGCGACGTGTAACGCGGCCGTGGGGCAGCCACCCCCTCCCCTCTTTCTCTGCTGCTATAACTTATCTGAGGCGGAGGCGAAGGAGTGAAGTCATCGGGCAACGAGCAAACACGCACACTTTGCCGCCCCTCCAACCCCGCTTTGCGCCCCCCCCCCCAGCCTCTCCTGCCGGCCTGGGAACCCGGGGAGATTTAGATCTGCGAGGCTTTCAGCCATCACGTGTTTAAATAGTTGATATAAAACCCCGGCGCAGGGGATCCAGGCGGGGGAACTTTAAGACCAGCCCTCTCCAGGGACCCTTTTGTTCAGCTCTCAAACATAAGCACCTTCTCGACTCGCCAGGACTTCAGTGGCAACTTGGCCAAGCAGGAAAATCCCGACTTTCGGAGAGCCGTCCCCGGCCTCGCAACCCTCCGCAATGTCCCGCTCCTTCTACGTCGACTCCTTAATCATCAAAGACTCCTCGAGGCCGGCTCCGTCCCTGCCTGAGCATCATCACGGCCAGGACTTCTTCATCCCTCTCAGCATGCCTTCTCCCCTCGTCATGTCGGTGTCGGGCCCGGGCTGCCCGTCCCGAAAGAGCGGCGCCTTCTGCGTGTGCCCGCTCTGTGTCACCTCGCACCTGCACTCCTCCCGTGGCGGCAGCGGCGGCGGCGGGGCCATCCCTCTGCTCAAGAGCCAGTTCCCCACCGCCGCAGGCGAGGCCCAGTGCTGCCCGCGGACCGGCCACGCTCACCACCCGCCGCAGCACCCGCCTCCCGCCGCCTCGGTACCCACCGCCGCAGCCCTGGGACACCCTACGCATCACCCACCTGCCTGCGCCGCCACCACCTACAGCGTCAGCGACCCCCGGAGGTTTCACTGCCTCGGCATGGGTAGGAGCCCTGTGGCCGCCGGGGAAGGGGGGGCAGTGGGAGAAGGGGGTCCCCCGAGGGAAAGCGGCTGCCCCGGGTCGGAAAGCTGAGGGAGAATGTCTTTTCTCCTTCTCTCTCTCTTTCTCTCTCTCCCCCTCTTCCCCTTTCCCCGTTCCCCCGTCACGCTGAAGTTCGCGCTTCTCTCCCATCCAGGAGGGTCCGAATCCAGCCAAATTCAAAACGGGAAACGTATGAGGACAGCTTTTACCAGCACCCAGCTCTTGGAGTTGGAGAGGGAATTCTCCTCCAACATGTACCTGTCCCGGCTGCGGAGGATCGAGATAGCCACGTACCTGAACCTGTCCGAGAAGCAAGTGAAAATCTGGTTCCAAAACAGGAGGGTGAAGCACAAGAAAGAAGGCAAAGGCACCCAGCGAAACTCTCACGGGGGCTGCAAGTGCAGCACCAGCCAGGGGCACTACCCCCGGTCGGAGGACGAAGAGTCTCTATCCCCCTCATCGGCTACAGAGGATAAAGAGGTCTCCCCGTTATGAGCCCGGCTCGGAGTTCCACTGCCGCCGCCGGGTCCCAGCCCGGAGCGGGGTGGCGGCACGGTGGCTCACCTGGCACCTCTGCCCAGGGACGGCAGCCCGCTAACCTGCCCTCCCTGGCCCTCGCCAGGGAGATTAACTGTCATCCCTTTGCAGTAATAGAAAGAGATATATAAATATATTTTTGGAATGTAAATGTTTTAGTCGTGAGAGTTCAACTAAAACGTTATTTATGTAACCCCGGGACAGAGCACCTGCTCTTCCTAACATGTAACATGGGACAAGACTCGCGTGGCCCAGGGTGCCTTCCTCCATCTGCCCCCAAGCAATTTAAAGGCAAAAAACAATCGCATTTGGAACCGATAAGCGAGGCATCAAAAACTGAAAAGCAAACTAAAACCTGTAGAGAACTTTTTGGGCGGACTTCTTAACAAAAATAAGAAAAGACATAAAGATCGGTCGTTTGGGTTTGGAACGACTGTTTGTCTGTGAATAGTTTTATATAAAAATTATATTTATATTTATTTAAATAAATGAGATCAGACGAGAATTTAATTTTTTCTTCTTATCCCCCCACACCCACCTCCACCTCCAAGCACCAGCCCAGTCCCAGCAGCGAAGGGGACTGGCTGGGGCAAGGTGCGTTTCTTCACAGTTCTTTGTATGGTGAAAGCATCGCTGTATATGTGTCAGACCTCCGTAAAGAGCAAAAATAAAAGCCATCGGCTACTAACAGGAATATGTTTTCTCTTCCCCTGCGACTCGGGCCGGCTGCGAGGTAGAGAAGGGGGGGGGGACTCCGCTCCAGCCGGAATGCAAATGCAGCCTTGTCCTCTGAGCCCAGCAGCTTTGTGTTCCTTCACAGCCAGAGCCAACGCATGCCCTCCTGGCGACTGACAGCTTTCTCCCGTCTGCTCGCTCGGCAACACAGCGTCGGGGACACCCGCCTACCACTGGTCCAGGACCGCCGATCCTGGCAGTGGGACTGTAGCGAGGGGCTGTAGCGAGGGGCTGCGCGCCAGGATTCCCCGCACCGCCCCGTGTCCCGCCGTGGCGATGCTGCCCGGCCCGGTTGCTCCATTCAGCACCACCCAGCTCTTCCCCCTCCGAGAAGGTTGCCTGCTTACATCGGCCCTTCTCCAGACTGAAGCTCTGCTTATGTTATTCCAGGGCGATGTTACACAGAAATAATTGATTTTTTTTTTTTTTTTTTTGTCTCAGGCACCAAGACAGTGTCCAGTGTTTTCGGTGTTGATCTCATTCAAGTGCTTGGCCAGGCTTAGGGAACAGATCTGAGGAGAAACCCACTCGTGCAGCACCTAACCACAGGCCCCATCCTGCCTCTGCCTTGGACGGCCCATTGCGAGCTCCTTGAACATGGCTGGTGCAGAGCAGGATGGAGCTGGAGCTAGTCGGTCCCAAATAAGCCTCTTTATAACTTTTTTTCTAATTCCTGCCATACTGGCAGACAGCATATGAGCAAATCAGAAGTGCCTTTTGCACGCTATGTTATTCCCCGCTCACTTCTTTTCCTTGGGTGGAAACACAATCCCTCTAATGCAATCTACACTTTTGACTTCAATCTCCAAAACAGTGGCAAAATCTTTTTGGTAAATAATTCTCTCAACAATCCCTACATTTCTCCTGTTTGATCCCTAACTTCAGAGCTTCAGCTCAGAGGTAAATCTCCAATTTGACTTGCTTGCAAGCACCCTGAATGCTGGAGAGAGATGCAGCCGCACCGCACCGACACTTGCACTGCTTGCCTGTCTTGGAGGAGAGGCCAGGTGCACGAACAGGGCTGGGGCAGGATAGAGAGGGCCTGGTATGGGCACTGCTCCACAGCCTGGACCAGCTTTGGGGCTTGGGGCAGAGGCAGTGTCCAGCACAACCACAGTGTGACAGGAAGGGAAAGAAAAAGCAGGACCGATGTTTCTAGCCTGGTCTTAAAAAAACAAGTACAAAATCTCACTGTTCCATCTCACTACCTTAGCTGAGTACAGAGGTCAGCAGCCCAGATCCCATGAACATCTGGGGATGTTGTTTACCGAAGTGGCAGTCCCCTCACTTGCCAGCCTGGGGAGACCAGAGGGCAAAAGGCTTGAAGTCCTTGTGATTTCCTCCCAGGCAAACTCATGGAGGGTCTGGCTGAATGGGTTGCATCCTCTTTCCCTAAAATCTGCTGAGGTGGTCTCTGGAAACTGTCGTTCTTCTGCTTCAGTTCACCTGTGTCTAGCTTGCTTCTATAATCACAATGGGGCTTTTCCAACCTCGAAGCTCTGGGAGCTTATTTACACAAGAAGTCTTGCCCACCCTCTCAGCAGTGTCATCCCATTATGTAAGAGGGGAGACTTAACAGGCCTGCAGCAGCCTGGGATAACAAAGCTTTGCTGGGTGAGAAAAAGCATGACAGTCTTTGAAATTAAGACTTAGAGATACTGGAAAACTCAAAGATATTTTAAAACTGTAAAGATACAATTGGCAGAGTGTATGGGTTCTCAGTGTAACTCTGTGGAAACATGCACCTCAGTGAATAAACTGGTATTTCCCTCTGTTTCTAGAAGATACACAATAAGGAGTCTCTTCACTGCAGTATTCAACAATTTCTTTAAAATAAAAAATAAAAGGAAAATGAAGATATGTCTTATAGTTATCAATGGTTTTGTATGTACCTTTCAAGGGTTGAGAGGTACTAGTGGCATATGATTATTGCACACAGGCTCTGTTGTTGAGACAGTTGCTGTAATCACCAGATTTCATTTTGTTTCAAAGTGAATGTTTCATGCTAAAAAATTTGGAAAAGTGGAATGGTGCAATGGTTTGCCCTGACACATCTCAAAAGGCTGGTACAACCAGCTCAACCTGAACTTAGCTCTAGGCAGTCCAAGTCAGTGTAACAGGAGTGGAAGTTGAGCATACCCTAACTTGCAGTATATGTATTGTAGGGTTTCCACGTGCAACATTCAACAGTTAGAAATTTAGGCAAATTTACATTAGAATGTGTTGGGGGTTCCTTTTTTTATTTTCCCTTCTCCTTTCTATCCTTTTTTTCTCCCACAAAGTGTGAAGTGCAGTTTTTCCTCACTCAGTGCCCAAGACAAGCAGTGTTCAGTTCTGTATTTAATATTCCTCTTAGAGTTAGTTATCTATGGAAATAAGGATTATGCAGTCACTGTGCTTTTCTTTCTGCAAGTTACCCTCATTCCCTCATAACTCATAAACTCTACGATCAATACAAACCAGCCACCCAACATGATAGCTCCACCAGAGTCTCCAAGATGTTGAGTTCCTATGAGTTCTGCAGAGCTGACCAGCAAGCTGCAGGGGACAGACCCGGGAGAGACCTCAGCTGCCACTATTCACTCTGGTAGGAATCAGATAACCCATAAATGGGGGACAGAGGGATGTCTTTTGCCCAACAGCCTGCTGGATGATGATGTCTGCAGGGGGAATAAGATTATCCAGGGAGGCAGACCTGCCTGAGGCAGACCCTTGAGATAGAGGGTATGTCCAGCAACAGGGCTGAGAACAGAAGCTATAGAGGAGACTTGAAGGGCCTGGGGGATATGGGACAGCACCCTGATAACAACTTTTTTCTTTTGCCACTCAGCGTGAATGTTGCACTCGTTACAAGTGCGTTGAATATGTAAAAGCTCTCATTTTCTTTGGTACTTGTCACAGCGATGTTTGAGAGCACTGGAAACATGACTGCATATGTCTTCATCGCTCCCGTGGGAGCAATAAATTCGCTTCTCTGTAGAGGCCAAGGACAAAGCCTTGGAGCGGTTCAGACTGGTGTTGCGGTACCGCCCTCACGTCATGAGACTCCATGCAACTTTCCAGCCTTTTTCCCGTTTTTGGCACGAGATATGATCCAAGCACGGCCCTGACATAATCCAGCTGCAGTTACTGCCCATTATCCACCAGATGTGTCCCACTCCGGGCAGTCAGGAGAAGAGAAGCATGTGGTGTCTGGCTGCGGCTGCCGCTGCTGGAGCCGCTCATCCTGGCATAAACTGGCGGCAGAGGAGCTGCCTGTATCCTGGATGGCTTTCAGGTGTGGGCTGGCCCCGAGCGCCTCACACGGGCTGCCGAACCCTCGGCGCAGCCGCAGCGCCGGGCCCCGCACAGGCAAAGACCCGCAAGAAGGTCGCACAACAGAAGCCAGAGCACTTGTACGAGAGGTGCGAGTTATGTTTGTGTGAGTGACCTCTCCACCGACCTTCTGTAACATGCCGGGGTAGCATTCCTCCTCAGATATTTATTTCATTCCTTTAATTCCATTTAACTCTTTCCGATTAAAAATTCGGAGAAGGAAAACATCCGTCTTGAGGAGTCTCCCTGACCTCAGTCTGCACGGCCGAGATCACCCCCACTGCACTGACCTCTCCGGTTGTGAATCTCTCGATTGAACGTGCTCCCATACCCTGATAGGACCTGTTTGCCCACGGGCAGTGCCGACCTCGGGCTGGCGGAACTTTACAGTGCTGAAGGCACCGCGCTCCCCGGTCTGCTCTTTCTAGTCCTGCCCTGGAATCTGGTGTAACGTCTCCCCGCTGTCGGAGCTCTTGCCGCAACGCCCATCGCCAGTCTCGCACCTCCGCCCCCTACACGGGGTAGTGCAAACCCTGGGTGGCAGCTCTCTGCTCCCACCCGCGGTGTGGTCGGGGCACCGTGGCAGGACACGTCCTGTGCTCCAGGGACCCTCAGACCAAAGAGCTCAGAGGTCCTGGCCGGCTGCTCATCCTCCGTGGAGTGGACAGGACGGGCTAGGCCCCATCAGTCGGAGCCCAAGCGCTCATGGAGAGCGGGGCTCACAGCGCAGGGACCCCGGGATCCAGGCACGGGGACTGCAGAAAACTCTCCTTCCTCATAATCCCCGTTTTGGAGATTGAAAGGAGAGGGGACGATCTAACTAATTCCCCTGCATTTATCTATAGCTTGTCCTAATTTCCTACTCCCTCCCCTCCCGCCGAGCGGACCCCTCTGGGATGCTTCCTCGG